CCGAAACGTCAGCTTTCCTGCTCCTCTGATGCTGCTTGGCCTGCTGTGTTCATCCAGCTCTACACCGTATTATCTCAGATTCTCCAGTATCAGCAGTTCCTACTATCTCTGTAACAATCCTACAGTCTGTATGTTTCTCCATATTTAATCTATCAAATTTCTTAATGATGTTAAATGTACCTTTTTACAATCTTGGCTCATAATTTACATATCACATGCCCTAGTTATAGCATATCTTCCCTGAGTAGTTGAAAAACTGGACACTGTAAACTTGGCTTAAAGGCCCCGTCCAATTGTGTTGGTAGAGTTTTTGTACTTTAGAGAATACAGCAGTGGGTGATACTGAAGTATTCCCTAAGTCATTGTTCTCCTGCAGTGGTGTGAAAACTTTATGGTAAATTGAGGGGTGGGGGTGGAAAGCAGTCCATCAGGATCGTGCATCATTGTTATGGTGCCATCTATCATAGTCACTAGGGCTCTACAATCACAGGACATTTGTCCCAGATCTCCATCTCTGGGCTACACCCTGGCTATGACAATTTGTTTTCATATTACTTCATTAACATAGTAGAACACTCCAGAATGACTGACTGAACTTTGAGAGCAATGTGTTTTCGGGTAGATATGACAAATAGTTTGGTCATAGATGTAGGAGCTTCCCGTAAAAGTTGAGAGATTCCAGGAGGGGATACTAAAGCTTAGGACCCAGGCTGGTGAAAGCTATACTGCCACTGGCAAACCAGAATTGGAGGAGAGCAGAGATCTTAAGGGAGTGTAGACCTGCATCCCTGAATCTGTAGAGATGGTGGAGGCCTGGTTAGCCTGCAGTTCACGTTTTGAGCGCTGGGGGTACTGATGGCGCTACCGGCGGTGGTGGCAGTGTTGCAGTTCATGGTCAAAATCACACGACACCAGGTTGTAGGCCACCAGGTTGTAGGCCACCAGGTTTATTTGAAAACACAAGCTTTCGGAGTCTCGCTGTAACACCTCAAGGAGAAACCTGGTGTCGTGTGATTTTAGACTTTGACCACCCCAGTCCAACGCCGCCACCTCCACTTCGTGGCAGTTCAGGGTGTCAACGCTAAGGGCGCCGGCTATGTTGACCTGCAGTTCACGGTGTGAGCGCTGGGGGAGCTGAGGGCGCTGCCGGCGGCGTCTACGTTGACCTACAGTTCAAAGTATGAGCGCTGGGGGAGCTGAGGGCGCTGCCGGCGGCGGCTACGTTGACCTGCAGTTCAAAGTATGAACGCTGAGGGCGCTGCTCGCGGCGGCTACGTTGACCCGCAGTTCACGGTAAGACCGCTGGGGGAGCTGAGGGCGCTGCCGGCGGCGGGGCTGCTCCCGGTGGTGAGTGGAGGCCGCGGGCGGCAGCCGGAACCGGGGATCGGGGCGTCTTAGTGACCGCGGACTATCGACAGAAACCCGGATTAAAGACCCACTAGAGACCCAGGGGAGCGCAGACAGCCCGGTAATTACCCCCATCCCCTAATAATTATTCAATTTCCATAATAATAAGCTCATCTTCCTAAAAATTACCCCTTCTCCTAACAATTAGCCTCCTCCTCTAATAATTACTCATTTTTCTGCGTAATTAACCCTCTCCCCAAATGTCAAGCACTTGCCCCGACAATTACCCCATTCCCTGATAATTACCCCTTTTCCCCTCACAATTGCCCCTTTCCCCTCATAATTACCCCTTTTCCCCTCAATTAGCCCATTCCCTGATAATTACCCCTTTTCTCCTCTCAGTTACCCCCTTTACCCCGATAGTTACTCCCTTTACCCTGACAATTACCCTATTCCCTGATAATTAACCCCTTTTACCCTGACAATTACCCTATTCCCTGATAATTAACCCCTTTTCCCATTATTCTTTCTCTTTTCCAAGTAGTTACCCCTTTTTCAGATAGTTACCCTTCTTCCCTGGTAATAACCCCCCTTTCGAAGGTAGATACCTCCTTTCCCCTGGAGTTAGCTCTGAATTCTTCAATACCTGAGAGTTAACAGCCATTCCCTGAGTTTTAATCAGGCATGTAATGGATATTGACTTGCCATTTCCTGGGTATTGACCCTGGTTTACCTGGGAGTGCTGGGTTGTGGGGGAATGGGGGGCATGGAATGGGGAATATACGTTCAAGCCTGTTATCAAGTAGATATATCCAGATATTTGGTGGTATTCACATCCAGATGGAAGTGTTCCTGTATCAGGTCTAGTTAAATGTGAAGCATGGAAGTTCCTCAGCTAGATTCACTGCCAGTTCCTTGGGGCTGCAGCTGGGCAGCACAGTTCCAGGTCTGCACTGTTAGCTGGCTCACTCATTGACCTGGAGCTCCAGGACTGGAATAACCGACCCCCTCACACTGATTTCCCCCGAAATCGTGAATGAGTTTATTCTGTTGCCCCTTCGCTCCTTGTGACTGTTGCCCAAAAGGGACAAAGGGTGAAGTTATCAGGTGAGAGACTGCCTGTGTGTCCTGTCTCCCTGTATCCGATATGTCCTGTGACCACACTACACCATCCTCAGCATGGGAACAGTTGTGCCCACTTATTCACGTCCTTTCATCTCTTTTTGCAGTGAGTTTCTCTGTGGAAATTCTAGGGAGGTTTCTGAATCAGATTTGAAGGGAATTCTGAACTCAGTACAGGACGAGATGGCTACTCAAATCTTTCGCCACACTTCCAAGTCTCGACCGACATTAATGGATTCAATCTGCCATCAGCCTTTCAGCAAGGGTTTTTCTTAAAGCTCAGACTCACAGCCAACACTGAATTGCAGGAGCTGCTGGCTTGCTCCCAGAAACCATGTCAGAGTCGCAAGAGAATGAGAAGCCGGAGAAAGATAAGCGGGCTGTGAGGCCAAAGGTCCGACGAGGAGATCCAGAAGATCAGGGGGGAAGCCGGAGCAAAAAGAAGAACAAAAATTCCCACAAATCCGATCTGTTCGTTGGCGATTCGGGCTGTGGACAGAAGAAGGAGAATGTCAGGAGTCATTCGGGCAGAAAACTGGGAAGACAGAGCCCAGATCGGACTCAAGAGGATTCCCATAATGTGGGAGCGTGCAAACTGCACAGCAGATCCTTGAAGCAGCGGATTCAGGATGTTGTGGGTCAGTGCTTCCCTATTAAATCCCACAGCCTCCACTCTGCCACTTTATCCTCCTCCAAAAGAAAGATTCACATCAGTGAACTGATGCTTGATAAATGCCCCTTCCCCGCTGGTACAGATTTGGCACAGAAATGGTACCTGATCAAGCAGCACACTGCCCCTGTCTCACAGAGCTTGCCAATGCTGGATGCTGCATCTTCTGGCGGGACACCTGTGGAGGATGAAGATGACCGTTTGCGGGAGAGAAGGCGGATCAGCATCGAGCAGGGGGTTGAGCCTCCTCCCCACGCACAGATTCACACCTTTGAGGTAACAGCACAGATCAATCCCTTGTACAAACTAGGGCCCAAACTGGCGCCAGGAATGAACGAGCTGGCTGGAGATGACCGGGCCACCCTCCAGGTACAGGAGAGCACGTCAGTTGAAGAGTTGCCCCCTCCCCAAGTGCCCCCAGAGCAGGTGGAGATCAAAGATGGCTATCGCGCCCACACTCAGATTGACTATATCCACTGCCTGGTGCCTGACCTCTTAGAATTGACCACTTTTCCCTGTTACTGGGGAGTGATGGACCGATACCAAGCTGAGGCTCTGCTCGAGGGTAAACCAGAGGGAGCCTTCCTACTGCGCGATTCTGCCCAGGAGGACTACCTCTTCTCTGTCAGCTTCCGCAGATACAGCCGCTCCCTGCACGCACGCATTGAGCAATGGAATCACAACTTCAGCTTCGATGTCCACGACCCCAGTGTTTTCCACGCTCCCACTGTCACCGGCCTCCTTGAGCATTACAAGGATCCAAACTCTTGCATGTTCTTCGAACCTCTGCTCTCCAACCCCATCAACAGGACCTTCCCATTCAGTCTCCAGCACATCTGTCGGGCAGCCATTTCCAGCTGCTCCACTTACGACGGGATTGACCTGCTCCCGATTCCCAACACCCTGAAGGAATATCTGAAGGAATATCACTACAAGCAGAAGGTGCGAGTACGGAGGCTCGACACCAGGTGAAACAAGAGAAATTGAACTGTAAATCGACCTCCCTCCAAGCTCTCGAGCCGGGGGGTAATCAACTTTAAATAATGACTCTCTTTATTGTTCACTATTTATTTGAAGGCTGCAAAATCCACAGTCTTTCTTTGGGTTTTTTCCTTTGTGCTAATTTTATGTTCTTCAAAGCACCAAAGTATTGTGGCATAAAGCCCGGTGACGTACAATGTAAAGCTCCTTTGACACTGTAACCATTAACACGTCTCACCACCCTATTGTCCCCAAATCTCTCAGGAGTCACAGTCCTCCTACCCCAATTGGATATTTTATCTATTTCCTACACCAGCCATCCTGTGTGTGATTGCTACCCCTGGAGCTAATGAATACCCAATTGAAAATGACCAACTAATTTCACATCAGCTTGTAAATTAAGGATTTTACATCTGTCATTCAGACTGAATTGAAACACAAGGCTCAGAAGTGAAATCCCATTGTTGTTCTGTACATTATTTTGATTCACTGAATTCTCCCGATTCCTTTCCCCTGCCACCCTCTGCATCCCTCCTCCCCACCCCAGTTCAATCAGTAATCCAAACTTAGAAACTTCCCATTTATAACTTTGATGCACACACTAAGACTGAAGATTGAAATCAGTGTGGGGACCACTACAGACAGCTGCTTTGTTAAGGATTTAGTTGCTGCACTGACTCAGTGTAAATATGGACCATGTTATTTGCGGGTAATTAAGTAATGTTGTTTTCAGAGATTCTATCTCCGTCTGTTGGCTGTGTTTCCTGTACCATAAAGTGTATGGATTGTCAGATTGCACTGTGCACTGCTATTGATCAGAATGCAATCTTAATCTGGCACATGATTGATGCAATGTCTGTCATTAAATCCTGCAACGTGACTTTTTAAGGCTGTAATGTCATCGAGTAACTTCCGACGATAAAGCCACCGCCTGTTTCGGTGCTGAGATGTGCTCATAGTGGGACAGAGCTTGATGACCTCAGTTCAGGTCAGAATTTGGGGTTCACTGTACTTCTCAGCACCTCTTAGGTTGAGAAATACAATAGAAAATTCCTGGTGTCGATCATTATCGATAGCAACTGACCTTTCTTCCTCCCAATTCCTGCTCCAAAGGATTGCTGTTTTACTGCCTTCATGTTCAAACAGTTCCTACATTCTGTTGAGGCTGCTACAAGGGTCACTTGCAGTGTCTTTCCTGAGGCTTAAGGATACTTATGTAGGTACAATTTGAAAATCTTCATCGCAAAATCACTGGGTAATGGGACAGGTTGATGAGGTTACAAGTTCTGAGCTGCCACTTTGTGACTTATAATCACATTTTTCACCTGTGTAATTCTTTGATACAAGAATCTTTGAGCAAATGCTGAGAGAGCTAGTTGCAGAAGGAGTTCATTTGATGTAACATACTTTCAGGATTGATACTTAGATATATCAAAAGCTCAAACTAATCTCAACAATTGTCCCTCAGCTCTGAAGCTTATTGGGCAGGACACTTTGTACACAGCTCAACATTCTCTGATGAGCCAGTAAACTTTGGGAGACAGTCAAATATCATAATAATGGTCACAAAAAAGAAATTGCTGGAAAAGCTCTGCAGGTCTTCCAGCATCTGTGGAGAGAAATCAGTGTGAATGTTTCAGGTTATACGCTCCTCAGTTCTGAGGAAGGGTCACTCGACCTGAAATGTTAACTCTGATTTCCCTTCACAGATGCTGGAAGACCTGCTGAGCTTTTCCAGCAATTTCTGTTTTTGTTTCTGATTTACAGCATCCACAGTTCTTTCATGTTTTATTTGTCATCATAATGGAATTAAAGTTCCCCGCAGTGCAATCCAATCAGACCCGTTGGCCTGCTTCGTCCTCCCACCCCTGCTAACTTGCTTACCTTCCAATGCCCATCCAGTCCTAACCCTTTTGAACTCATTTATTGTTTCCACTTCCATTGTTCTCTTGGCATCACATTCCTGGCCACTGTCATTTGCTGTGTTAAAATATTCCCCGTGCAACTGTTGCTCAAAACCTTCCAAAAGGATTTGGTGTTGAAAGAGATCAGTTAAGCTCAGGAAAGAGAACATAAAAGGGAGGGAGCAGGGGATGGGATTTTAGAAAACTACAAGGCTACAAGATTGTCTTGTGCAGCGAGTGAAGTAATTTCATAGTGAGTCATTCATTGTTGCAAGTCAAATAGAGTCCCTGCACAGAGCAAATTTTAAGCAGATTTCCCAGTGCACATAGAATCCCTGTGAACATTCCATGAGAATTCTAAACTCATCAAACTGGTGTAAGTAAAGACACCTCATTTTGTGTGACTTGTTCTTTGCAAAGATCTGGCAGGAACACACGGAATAACCTATTGTAACCATTCTACGGTTATTAACACATCAGACTTCTAATTAAAATGGCCATATTCATGTATTTTAGACTGACAACAGAGAGAGAGGAAACAGTGTTGGCTGGGATACAGAAATCACCCAACCTTTCCTCTGATAGGAGCATCTCTCAGATCTAGCTCAGCAAGCATTTGGGGTTTCAGTGTAAGGTTTCATTCAAATGCAGCAATCCCTTGGTACTGTGCTGGGAGTTTCAAAATGGGCTTTGTGCTCAAGGATCTGGAATGGGACTCGAGACCACAACCTCCTGACACTAGACTGAAACTCTTGGTCTAGCATGGGTTCACGGTCAAAACTCTTCCCTCTGGTTCTACTTCTTACTAATAACTGTCTCAGTATCTCCAAACCTTTGATACCAGCTGGTGGTCTAACCCAGTCACCATGCTGTGCAACTGTTCCAGCTAAATTAATGCCAGAAGAGGCCATCATTCAGTGACAAATTTGCAACCTGCAAGAGTACCCCAGTGTTCTACAGGTACATAACCTGTCCCCACCAGTACTGTACCCCAATGTTCTACAGGTACATAACCTGTCCCCACCAGTACTGTACCCCCGTGTTTTACAATGACAGAACTGTCCCCGCCAGTACTGTACCCCAGTGTTATACAGTGACACAACTGTCCCCACCAGTACTGTACCCCCGTGTTTTACAATGACAGACCTGTCCCCACCAGTACTGTACATCAGTGTTATGCAGTGACAGACCTGTCCTCACCAGTACTGTACCCCAAAGTTAAACAGATCCTTCTCTGTGAGTTATGTATAGCCCAGTGTTAGAGGAGAGAGCTGTTGTGTTGGGTGTTTCATTAGCAATGTGAAGTGAATGAAAGTCTTGCACTGGAGTGCACCATTACCCTTTGATCAGCAAACTGGTGTTCCACACCTAACAGCCACCCTGGTCCCAGGGATAGTGTGGACCTCTGCTGAACAGTTCTAGCTTCCAGGACTTCTCTATCACTCCTTCAAAGGATAAGAGACGACCTGATAGAAGTTTACAAAATTATGAGAGGCAGTGATAGTTGGAGTATTCTTCCCAACGTAGAAATATCAGTTAGTAGGGAAGATGGGTTTAAATTAAAAGGGGATTGGTTTAAAGATGTGAGCAGCAAGTTTTTTTTTTACACAAAGGGTGATAAGTGCCTGGAATGTACTGGCAGAGGAGGTGGTGGAGGTGATACAATAGCATTGTTTAACAGAAATGTTGATAGATACATGAATAGGCAGGAAATAGAGGGATAAGGACTGCATAGAGCAAAAGGTTTTTAGTTTAGAAAGACATCACGTGTCGGTACAGTCTTAGTGGGCCAAAGGGCCTGTTCCTGTGCTCTACTGGTCTTTAATAGAGCAGAATCTGAACAGAAATCTCCAGCCTTCAGTTCCTCAGCAGGTGTGTAGATGTGAGGCTTTCATGGGGAACTCTATACTTTTCTGTGTTCCCCAAGGAAGGTGACCTGGACAACGATGAGGAGCAGGAATGCTGGCATGTACCCACTCTTACCCAACCCCATGGTACTGAGGCTAATTAGTGATGTCCATCAACGTAAGGAGCAAAGGATTTGGAGTATGACAGGGTACGTTAATCTTGTCTGTGTGTGTGGATCATGAGGAATTGTGAAAGAAAGCAGTCCTACCAAACATGGAGGCACCACAGCTTTAATTATTAGCTCGCTGTCCGAACACTATGTCAGTGCTAAGGTCTACTTTTTCTTTTGGACGTGTGCACAGTCATATTTCCCGCGCACAACTTTTAACTTGACACCCGGGAGGTCCTGCGTCCTTCCCCCCTCCACGAGCACGATGTTGTGTTCCTGGAGATTGTGGCCCTCCCCAGGGATGAACACAATTACTTCTTTGCCGTTACTCAGCCGGACACGGGCACACTTGCGATTGGCAGAGTTTGGCTTCTTGGGTTTGCGGATCATGGTCTTCAGAACCACCCCTTTCAGCTGTGGCCGGCCAAAGGTGGGCCCTGCCTTGCGGGGGGCACGCTTGGGTTTGCCCATTTTGTGCATTTGGTGGAGGGTGGCCATGGTCCGTTTGTTGTGCTGGCAAACCGGAGCTGGCAGCGTAACTCCTGCTGGGAAAGCTCGCTGAAATAAGGAAGCTGATGACAAGCCGATCAGTCTCGCTGCTCCTAGAGGGAAACACAGGAACAGTTATATTTGTAATCACAGCACAGAAACAGTGGCAATAATGTGTACCATTTACAAGATCCAACTCGTGGACACCTCCCTCACCCACTTCAATAGCCACTTCCAAACCCACGACCACTTCCATTTAGAAGAAGAGCAGCAGATACATGGGAAGAGCAGCAGATACATGGGAACACCAGCCCCTGCAATTTCCCCTCCGAGCCACTCACCATCCTCACTTGTAAATATATCACTATTCCAGGTCAAAATCCTGGCGATCCCTCCCTAACTGTATTGTAGGGTGCATCGATATCTCACATTACAACAATTCAAGATGGGCAGCTCAAGGGCAATTAGGGAGAAAGAATTAATCCTGGTCTTGTTGGTAATGGTCACATCTTATGAACGAATACAGTAAAACTGAATACAAGCCACTTTTCCAACAGTGCTCTGCATATGTTTGCACAACACACTAACCACCTGCTGTCTATTTTGCATCTCCATCTAGAATATAGCAGGGGATACTAAAGAGGAATCAAACAATTGTAGGACAATGTCATCTTTTAATAATAATTTTAAATGACCCTAATTAGCCACTGTTCTCAAGTCATAGTTTATTCTGTTTGTCACATTGCTAAGTAGAATTCACACTGATGAGAGAAAGATATGAGTGTAGGAATGAATCTATTTACAGACTACCCAGGTTACTCTCCATTGCACATACTCCTCCATTCCTCAACAGGTGGAATCCAAATAGCATTGGATGGTGGCAGACTTAACAAGAGAACTTTGCTTTTTTCACCCACTTAGAACATCTAAAGGTGCCCTACTACTCGTGAAGATGCTTTTCAGGTAGTGGGCTGAGTGACAGATCAGGTTTGACACCACAAATATGGAACAGAAAGTGAATGAGTGAAGGATTGTGGAGTGAGCATGTGGGAATGACTCTGATACAGCGGAGGGCTGATAGCAGCAGCATACTGGTTGGCAGTGAGGTTTGAGTGATACTGCAATTCCTCATATCTGAGGGGTTAGGGTGAAGGTAGTAACAGAGAATGGGATTGTCTTGCAGATGGCCCTGTAACAATCCAATTGGACTGGGGACAAGCACAAAAGTTTGAAGTGCTCTGGTCCAATCTAGTGCTGGACAGACAAAATGGTCTAATGTCTGTGACAAAGCCTGATATGAGGACTCAAGTCTGAGAGTTCAGGACCAATTTTCACAATCACAGTACAGAGACAGGATAGAGGCAGGAGGTTGGTGTACTGTACAAAAGATAGGGGAAACACTGTAAAACCGATCAACCAGTGCTAAATCACAGAATGGTTACAGAAAAAGAGGACATTTGGCCCATTCAGTCTGTGCTGGCTCTCTGGGGGGAGAAGATTCACTGAGTGTCACTCCATTGCCTTTTCCCACATATTCTTCCTTTTCAGATAATGATCAATTCCCTGTTGAAAGCCTTAACTGAACCTGCCTTCAGCATAGCCTCAGGCTGCGCATTCCACTCACTGCATGAGGATTTTCCTCATGTCACCATTGCTTCTTTTGTCAAATGTTCTAATCCCCAATACACACATCACAAATTCCTCATAAAAACAATATTATCTTTCTCCAATAATTATTCTTCCCCCTTATTTCTGCTAATAGCCCCAATTCCTGTGTCCCACAAACTGGCTCTCTGTTCAACAGCTATTTGTCCTTCTCAACTTTTTCTTCTTCTTTCCCAACATACACTTGCTGGATAAGGATCAACAAGCACTGCCCGATATTGTCTCCTCCAGAACCCAAATACAATCAAATGAAACAAATTCTGACACAAATAAACCTCTCACCCAAAGTCAACGATGACATCCAGTTCCTCATCATTCCTGTGGAGAACATGTCTTCAGGTTTATCAACACCAAGCGAGCTGAGCAGTGGTCAGTCCTAGATAATGAAAACAAATAGTGGGACTTTAGTTATGTGCAGCATTTGGGGAAGCTGGGATTGACTTACTTAGAGAATAGTAATAGGAGATTTGAAGGGTGTTCAGAATCATGAACGATTTTGATTGAGTGATAAGGAGACAGTTTTCATCGGCAGGAGAGTCAGTAACCAGAGGGACACAGATGTAAAGTAAATAACCAAAAGAACCAGAGAGTTGGGATAGATGAGAATTTTTTTTAATGCAATGAGTTGTTGTAATCTGGGATGTGATCTCTAAAAGTCTGTTGGATGCAGATTCAGTAAGAATATCCTACTCATGAGATGTGGGTGATGCTGGCTGGGCCAGCTTTTATTGCCTGTCCCTAGTTGCCCCTTGGGAAGGTGGTGGTGAGCTGCCTTCTTAAGCTGCTGCAGTCCATGTGCTATAGGTCAGCCACAATGCTGTTAGGGAGGGATTCCAGGATTTTGACCCAGCAACACTGAAGGAACAGCGATATATTTCCAAGTCAGGATGGTGATGGGCTTGGAGGGGAACTTGCAGGGCATAGTGTCCCCATGTATCTGCTGCCCTTGTCTTTCCAGATTGAAGTGGTCATGGGTTTGGGAGGTGCTGTCTAAGGAGCCCTGGTGAATTTCTGCACCACATCGTGTAGATGGTACATACTGCTGCTAAGAGTGTCTGCATTGCAGGGAGTGGATGTTGAGTCTGGTGACAATTTTATATTCCTGATTACACTTGAGTTTAGGAAACCTTTCAGCTTATGTTAGGTATGAGGATATTGGGGTATCAGTTTCACCAAGGCATTGAGTCTCAGGGTGGAATATCTTGGTACCATCCTTTCAGGAGAGGGGCGCAGTTGATGTAAATATTTGGAATTGTCATACCGCACAGAAACAGATGCTTCAGTCCAACCAGTCCATGCCCACCATGTTCCCAAACGAAACCAGTCCCAGCCTGTGCCTGGCCCATATCCCTCCAAACATTTCATGAACTTATTCGAATGTCTTTTAAAAGTTGTAACTGTACCTGCCACCTCTTCCTCTGGAAGTTAATTCCACACATGAAGCACTGTCTGTGTAAAGAAATTGCTCCTCATGTCTTTTTTAAATCTTTCTCTCACCTTAAAAATATGACACCCTTGTCTTGAAATTCCCCACCCGAGGGAAAAGACAATTGCCAATCACCTTATTCATACCCCTCATGATTTTATAAACCTCTATGAGGTCACCCCTCAATCTCCTGTGAAAGAAGTCCCAGCCTATCCAGCTTCTTCTTATAATTCAAACCCTCCATTCCCAGCAACATCCTGGTAAATCTCTTCTCACGTGCACCAACAGGTTCAAGAACACTTTCTTCCCTGCCATTATTTGACTGATGAATGGACTTTCTAACTTCAAGCAATATTGATCTTGCTTCGCACACCTCCTGTGCAGTATAACCTGTTTGCTTCCCTCTGTCTAAGCACCCTATGATCTGTATGCCTTTGCTTGCTATGGTCTGCCTATACTGCTCACAAAACAAAACTTTTCATTGTACTTAGGTTCACATGAAAATAAATCAGATCAAATCACCTGCAACAAAAACAGAAAATGCTGGAAAAGCTCAGTTGGTCTGGCAGCATCAGTGGAGAGAAATCAGAACTGTGTTCCAAGGAAGAGTCACTGGGCCCAAAACGTTAACTCTGATTCCTCTCCAGAGAGGCTGCCGGACCTGCTGAGCTGCTCCATCAATTTCTGCTTTTAGTTTCTGATTTACTGCATCCGCGGTTCTTTCGGCAAATCTCTTCTGAACCCTCTCCAGCTTAATAATATCATTTCTATAGCAGGGAGACCAGAACTGGACACAGTGCTCCAGTATTTCTCTCACATTAACTCCTTCTTGCCTGGAATATTGGGTGCAGCTTCCACAGCCACCAGCGTCTCCCTCAGTCCCCATAGATCCACCCCACATCTAGTCCCAGGCCCCACGGACCCCTCCCCAGTCCCAGTCCCCACAGACGCCGCCCCCAGTCCCAGTCCCCACAGACCCCACCCCCAAGTCCCAGTCCCCACAGACCCCACCCCCAGTCCCAGTCCCAGTCCCCACAGACCCCACCCCCAGTCCCAGTCCCAGTCCCCACAGACCCCACCCCCAGTCCCAGTCCCAGT